TGAAGTTATGAGGAGACAGCTTTCATGAGAATATCGCATTAACTAGGTTTTTATTTTCTTTAAAAATTTTGTTGAACAAGCAATTATATAGTCATAAATAAATTGATATTTCAGTGCTTTCTGAGGATCGTTAACAATAGATTTTTAAACAAATAAAGTTGGAAATTTGTAAGAAATAGATTAAGTGAAACGTAACAATATATTTTGTAATATTGATATTCCAAAAAAAAAAGCCAAAATAAGGCAATGTGGCACACTTGGTCTGTGGTGTTCTTTGGGGTAGCAGAGACGAATAGAATAAAGGGTTTATTGGTGTGTATTTACGGCAGTCAGACCAAGCGCAACAACCTATTAATATTGAAGATGCCCAACTGAGCAGCGATGGAGGAAAGGTGGTAGAATGAGGATACCGAGGTTCCGACGGTTGCTTGAAACCGTAGTGATAACGATGAAGATGGAACGAGACGCCCGTAGAAATCAAGACGGATCGAGGGTTGTAGATATGGAGACGGGATGAAGTGTTGTAGAAGTCGAGGCCGACAAACGTTATAGAAGCGGAGGTGGACGGATATTGTAGAAGAGGACCTGGTGCTATTTCTCGACTGAGGCGCGGAGTGGAAGTGGGAAGGAAATTCTTATAGGATTTTGGAAAATATCTTGTCGCCCTTCGATGATCTGTTGTAAATGGCGTTAAGAACATCCTGAGAAAATTTTATGTGGATTATACATGATAAAAGCTAGATGAGAAAAATCGCCGTAAGCGATAAAGGGCGAGATTAAATACCACACAGAAGACACATAAAAACCGAATAAAGAATTTCAGCATAAAAACATATAATGATTCGTGCATATAAAAATTGTTTTAACATTTTGCATGAAATATATAATTTTTCAAATAAAGTTATTACCATTTGGCCACACATGATAAAAAATAGAAATGGTACATGAAATATTATTGTATTAATGGCGATATAAATAATAAATAACGGCGCGCACCAGGGCAGCCGGTGCGATCATGCGTTTTGTGCAATTCCGTTCACCGAAAGATTGCCCACTAATGGTTTTCACTGCTTTGCACTTCAGTGTGTGCAAAAATAGTTAAATGTTTGGTTCTTAAGTTACAGCGTTTCCTACTAAAAATTTCACGCAAGCGAGATAATAATTTCTTTATCAAAATTTTTACGAGACTGTACATAGTACCCAGGGATGCGTGAAAGCTGAATCCAAATTTTGCGAGGTCATGCGTTTGTAAAAGTAATCACCCTAAAATTTCAGGTCCTCAACTTCCACGGTCCCCGAAATAATAATTTTCTCCGCCGAAATTTTCACGGGACCGTAAGTGATACTCGGATGTGCGGGAAGCCGAATTTAAAATTGCAGGATTGTATGTGGACAGAAAACGTTACCATAAAATTTAGCTTCCTGGCTTTTATGGTTCCCGAGATAATAATTTGCCCGCGAAAACTTTCAAGAGGCCGTAGGTAATACCTGAAAGCGCGGGAACGCTGGATTTGAATGGGTAAGGTCGAGCGTGGGCAGGGAGTTATTACATTAAAATTTCAGCTTCGTATATTCAGTGGTTCCCGAGATAATAATTTACCGCAAAAATTTTCACGGGTCGTTCGTATTACCCGCGGGTAAAAGAAAGCTGGATTTAAATTTTCTAGGTCGCGTGTGGGCAGGGGACACGCTGGATTTAAACTTAAGCCCTCTAGCTTCCATGGTTCCCATGATAATAATTTTACCCGCCAAAATTTTACGGGGCCGTACATGTTACCCACGGGGAGGGGAAAGCTGAATTTAAATTTCTTCGGTAACACGTGGGCAGAGAACATGCCCACAGAATTTCAGCCTTCTAGCTTCCGTGGTTCCTACGATAATAACTTTACCCGCCTAAACTTTTACGGACCGCACCTGTTGTCCTCGGGTAAGGGGAGGTTGAATTTAAATTGCGGGCTCACACGTGGGTGGGGAACGTTCCCCTAAATTTTCAGCTTTCCAGCTTTTGTGATTCCCGAGTTGAAAGTTTCAGACAAGTTGCTGCGGACATACAGACACACACACACACACACACACACAGACAGTCCCGTGACAATATGCGTTTTGTACTGCTGTTACACAGCGCAGAACGCATAAAAACAGTACAGTGTATTTCTGGGTAATAAATACAACTTATACGACGTACTTATATTTAAGCATATTTCCGGGCTTCTCTCTTCAGTTCTTTTCAAAACTGCAAATCTTTTTTTTTTTTTCACGGTAGTTTTGCGGATTATACATTGCCTCTTGGGCCAATGTTTGGTGCTTTTCATCATATTCAGCATTATTATGTGTATACTATAAGTGAAACTACTGAGTTAATAATCTCTTTACTGAAATTTAGCGAACGTCAAGATCACTAGTGGGCTGACCATTAGACGATAGTCAAAGCAACTGGAAAGAGATCTGTAGAGAACCAAACTGTGGATTGCATCTATAGGCGGATCCGGGGAGAGGGGGGGAGGGGAGGGAGGTTAGAGGGGGCGAAGGGTTTTTCACCTCCCCCTCCTCCCTTCCCCCCGACCTCCCTTCGCCCCAACGGTATATCCACCAATACCACAAAAGTGCTGGTCTAAAGCTAAAACTGAACAAAACTATCTTCCGCGTCCCCCGTCGCCCCCTCGCCAGGACCCCCACTCCTCCCTTCCCTTACTCATCGCCCCCCTCTCCCTTTCCCTCCCCTCCCTCCCCTCCGCCTTTCCCTCCTCTCCCACGTCCTGGACCTGCTTATGGTTGCTTCGGATCGGAATATTCCCTCCCCTACTCGTCGCCCCCCCCCTCCCCTCCTTCTCCTCCCTTCCCTCCTCCCCCAGAAGCACGTCCTGGACCTGCCTATGATTGCATCGAATAGAAATATTAAGATTATTCGATGATGAAGAACTACCTTCCTTTTTTTACACTGTTGTTTCATATCCGCTGGCGCACATCCAAGGAAGGCAGCAGGCGCGCAAGTTACCTACTCTCAGCATGAGGAGGTAGTGACGAAAAATAACGGGATCGTTCTGTTTGAGGCCGATTATCGGCAATTTAAACCCGTTAACGAGGATCTGTGAGAGGGCAAGTCTGGTGCCATTTGGCAACTCATTCGTTGTGGGTAGAACTGCATAAACTTATATTCATTATGCTTATGGTGACTCAGACATCTTTTTGCCTACTTTCTTCGTTTTTTTTGATGAGAATTGTTGGATGTACCATATTTTTCGTCCTATTACTTTCGATACTTGTGCAGTTCGTTCTCTCGATAATCGATTATAGTGCTCTAGTTTATGTTTTAGAGTAAAATACCGCGTGCGACACATCTCGATTTTTCGAACAATTTGATATCGATAATTCCAACCGAGCTATGCTATCTCACGCACCTCACGAAGTTAGACCTCAGCAATAATCGCATCAGCTGTTTACCGGATGAATTTGGCAAACTGGTTAACTTGGCGCATCTTGATCTTTACAGAAACGAAATTGAGGTAATTTTTCGTGCATCTTCCCGATTTTTGTTTTTTGGTTTAACAAAATCTCAAAAAAAAACCGTTCTGTACGCCAGAGTGCAGCATGTTGAAGCATAGATACACAGGTTTATTTTTTCCCGCCTTCAGTTTTTTCCCCCTCAGCCCCGACTTCAGTTCCCCCCCCCCCTCTTTCACTTTGCTCTGAGCGTTCCCCGAAATCAGATCCGCTGCTAATCCCTCTTTCCTGGAGCAACCGCTCAAATGGCAGTCCAAAAAAAGGCCCAAGCAAACCTAGGGCTTAGCTGTACTTTGTTTTTGATATTCTTTACATTATGGGAAATGACCTTCTTTCTCCTTAGTCACAGCCTCTCCAGCTGTATGTATTGGTTTGTTTTGCCAAAATTGATTCTCTTTGGAGTTTTTCTCGACAGATATATGCTTTTGAAACGAAAGTAGCTGGCCATTTTACAGATAATAAAATTATCAGCAATTATTTTTACACGTTTTTTGCATTTATGCAGTGCAAAAACGCATATTGTCAAGGGGTTGTCTGTGTGTGTGTGTCTGTGTGTTCGTCTATATCGATTTTCCATCTCCAGACCTACAAAAGCTACAAGGCTGAAACCTTGGGAACTTAATATCTACATGCAGGTATGGGCCCCCACCTCAAAAATAGGCACTCTTGCTTGCGTGGTTCCCACATACGGGCCCGCCAAAGTTTTTGGCGGGTAATTTGCTAACTCGAAAACTAGCGAAGCTACAATGCTGAAATTTTAAGGAAATGTTTTTTTCACAGTTGTGGTGGCTAGTCTCAATTCTTTTAGCTAGAAGCATTAGCCGGAAAAAGCTCACGGGAAACTGTGCAAAAAGCGCATTTTCGCACCGGCAGTCGGTGTGCTGGCCAGTTATTTTTGTTTTTTCTTTTTTTTTTTTTAAATTAATGACTTTTAAACTGCGAGCAGCTGGCTGAAGCGGCCCAAGTCATCGGGAAGTAAGTCAGTGTATGGTAAGAGCAGTTCATATAATTTTAATTCGCCCTGACCATGCTTAACTTTTTGCGAACGATGTGTTTAAAAAATCCTGATTCTTTTGAATCCTGTTTGTGCGAGCAGCGGTTCCTAGAGGAAAACGTAAGGGATCTTTACTTGTGAGCTGAAGGGTGCTCGTGCAATGGAGGAAATATAGCATGTTCTAAGTGTTAGCGGGGGAGGGGAGGGGAGTACCAGAATCAGCAACAGTAACAGTAGTAGCTGCAATAGAAACAGTAGTAATAGTAGCAGTAGTAGTTGTATTAGTAACAGTAGACGTGCAGCAGCAGTAGCCGTATCAACAGCAACAGCAGCAGCAGAGGGTCAGAGGAAAGATTCCTGGTAGCCAAAAAAGTATTTCTCGATTTTCACAAAAGCTAATCAAAATACATAAACAAAGAAGTACGAACAAGCCGTGTAATAATCGTGAAAATCGTGCAACTGTATGTATGCTGCAGGAGCTTCCGCTATCTTTTGGTGAGCTTTCTTCACTGAGATGGCTTGATCTGAAGAATAATCCTCTGGAAACGGAGTTAGCAAAAGCGGCCGGCGATTGTTCCGATGAGAAGGGTTGCAAGCAGGCGGCCATCAATGTTGTGAGACTTATGCGTGCTCGTACCGCTCAACATCAACGTCTCAGCGAAAAGCAGAAGGCCGACACAATGCGTATGTATATTTTTCAGATTTCTTTAACCTCCTCTATAAAATGTCAGTCTTGGATTCCTGTTTGAATTGGTCTTGGTATTTCTTGAGTCACTTTTTTATGCGTTTTGTGTTGTGTAACAGCATTACAAAACTCATATTGTCACGGGGTTGTCTCTGTGTATGTCCCACATTTTATCCCTCACTTTCAGCTCGGGAACCACGAAAGCTAGACGGCTGAAGTATTGGTATAGTTTCCCCGCCAATGGGTGACGCGGCAAATTTAGATTCAGCCTCCCCGTACCCGCGGATAACACGTACGACCCCTTGAAAGTTTTTTACGGGTAAATTAATATCTTGGGAACCAAGGAGACTAGGAGGCTGAAATTTTAGGGTAATGACCCTCTGCCCACGCCCAACCTTGCCAATTCAAATTCAGTGTTCCCGCGCTCTTGAGTATCACCTACTGCCTCGTGAAAATTTTGGCGGGTAAACTATTAGCTCGGGAATCAAGGGAAGATATTCACCCTTCAATGTTTCGAATTCAGCTTTCATACGCTGGCGCGTGAAATTTTTAAGTTCAATGTTTGAACTATTTTTGCATAGACAGAAGTACAAAGTAGTGGAGGCAATCGTTCGATGGGCTGAATTGCACAAAACGCATGATCACACCGGCTAGTCTGGTGCGCGTTAGCAATCGTTCGATGGGCTGAATTGCACAAAACGCATGATCGCACCGGCTAGTCTGGTGTGCGTTGCTATTTATTATGTCGATGGGCTGAATTGCACAAAACGCATGATCGCACCGGCTAGTCTGGTGCGCGTTGCTATTTATTTGCAACCGGTAGCGCTTTTTTCTTATTCGTAGGACAACCCATGTTATGTGTACTTCATGTCTGAGTACAAGGGAAGGGAGTTGGTGAAGTGACAGCAGACACTTCGCCTTCTCCATAAGTAGGGCACTGTTGCGAGGGGAATAATTTTTTTTTTTTGAGCTTTTTTTCTCACTTGCAACGGAAACTTTCCCAAAATTGGCATTTTCGGTAGATTTTTATGGGATAACGATGTGGAAACGAGCACTGTTTTTTCAAGTAAGGCGACGCATTGAGCACAGCTGTGGAGTTATGCTTACGCTGTTGCTTTAAAACTTATGGTGTATTTTTTCTCGTACATTGTGTTGGCAAGTGAAGTTCGCCAAGTGAGATTAGTTAATGTATGGATTTTAGAAGCTTAGGGAAGTTTCCGAAAATACTTTAAATCATCGTTGGAGTGGGGTTGTGCGATTTCCCCCTTGCCGATCTTTACCCTGCGCTGAATGGGCCGTTGTTCCTGACCCTGGTTACTACCCTCTTCCTTTCCCCCACAGGGCATTTGAGGCCTGTACTGCCTTTTACTATTTTACTTCATTTTATAGTATGAAAAACTCTGCGGGCATGCGGATGTGGCGTAGTGTAGATAGTGATATTCGTAATGATGGTTGAGGGCTTGACCATGCCGGTGGAACAAATAATTCATTTATTCGTTTCTGTCTTAAACTGGTACTGTCTTATGCCGGGGAGCCAGATCCGCTATTAATTTGCTTCTAAGTAACACTTGAAAGAGGGTATCATCATCGCTTTTACCAACGTGTGGTTGCTATTGGCATATGTTGTCATTCAGGTTATTTCCGAGTGCTTCTATCTTTTGATTTGATTTTTGGTTATTGGAGACTTTATAATCTCATAAATAGCTTTTTTTTGATACCTGCCGTTATTCGGGTTGCTTTCGAGTGCCTTTACCTTTCGATGACTTTTGATTATGGGAGATTTTACATATTTTTAAAAATAGTTTCTGTAATGGCGTTCTTTTTCATTTCTAGGCTTTGAAGAAAACGAAGCAATCGGCCAAGGATTGGTGGCGCAGAAGGAGAAGCCAAAGAAAAAGAAGCATAAATTACGAGATTCTGTTTCAGAACAGCAAGAACCAGCATTGCTGCAAGTTGAACAGAACGGTAAAATTCTTTTTTTATTCATTTTCAACCATAAAAATTATAAATCACTAGAATTTCTATTAGTTTACCAAACTGGTATTTTAGGGCCCGAAATGCTTCCTGCGATGAAGCATGACGATTATAAAGCAAGAACGGATAATGGAGCAGCCACCAGGAAACGCGGTTCTAGTTGCGGTTTGTTTTTACTTCATATTAAATCTTCATATGTCCTTCGTCGTTGCTCAGTGCATTTATGCAAATGTAAAAAAGCACGTTGATGAAACTCTCTGTATGTATGTATGTATGTATGTATGTATGTATGTATGTATGTATGTTTTTATGTATATATGTATGTATGTATGTATGTATGTATGTATGTATGTATGTATGTATGTATGTATGCATGCGTGTA